CATCTGCATGTTTTGTTAGTCTTTAAAGTGCTACCAGACTATTTATTGTTTAAGTACCCTATATAGTGCAGCACATATGTACCACTCCAGGGAGTGCTGGAACCGGTCCCCTCCAGATACAGCTGAGGGAAAATCTTCTGGCACCAATCCATGGGGCAAGCACACACACTTACGCTGAATGGACACGAACACTTGAAGAATTAAGATTGATGATTAATCTGGATACCTAGAAAAAGCATGTCACAGATACATTGACTACTCAAAAGATGCAAAAAACACTAAGTTGTATGTGCTAGCAGGTTTACTGTTCTACAAAAACACTAAGATGTATGTGCTAGCAGGTTTACTGTTCTAATTATAGCTATTTATTCACTTTTTCTACTCATGTCAGAGCTCCTCACAAACTTTAATGAATTTATCCCTGTGAGATAAGGAAGTACTCCTGTTGTACACTCAAAGATTAAGTGACTTGCCCACAACCACACTACATTTTGTGATGATCAAGAGCAGAACCAAGATCTAGTCCCATCCCATAATCACCAAACAATATTATAGAGCAAATATTTTAACACTCTCAGCAAGAGAGCAAAATCAGCTAGGAAATCTCTGTAGTTTGTGAACTATTTCTAAAGAGAATAATCAATTTACTAGAATCTTTGTTTTAAACTTCAGTCATTACAGGGGAATATAAAAAGTCCTGATCCAACGCCCATTAAGTAAACAGAAAGTGTCCCACTGATTTCAACAGGTGTTACAGCAGGAGTTTGTTCAGCTTTAATAGGACAACTAGCCATAGAGTATTTACAGGAACAGGTCCCAACATAGTAAAAGTTTCCTACTGGTATATGAGATTTCTGATGGTTGGGGACTGAAAAATTACATTCACGGACATTGATTTTAGGTATATAAAAACCCCTTTAAAAAGTTAACTAGTTAAACGATATAATTTCAATCATTTAACCAGTTAACCCTGGAGAATGGCTGTGGCTGCAGGGCTCCTTCAGCCAGGCTGGGCCTGTCGCACCATGGACACAAGGCTTCTCCGGATGGGCCAGCAGGCTGCTCCTGCCCAGTCAAGCCAGCTGCAGCTGGGATCCCACCAAGATGTACCCACAGCACTGCATCTAAGGAGCTGCTTCCACTGGGCCCTATGTAGCTGAGGTCCTGCTAGCCAGGTCACAGTGGACAGAGGGCTGCTCCTGCGTGGCCCACCCCACCAGTTCACTGGTTATCAGGTAAGCATGCCAGTAAGGGTAAGCCGTTAACCTTTTACATTCCCATTTGATTTATTAGTACATAAGAAAATATTCAGACTTGCACATTTTTATTTTTAAAGCATTTTGAAAACTTATCTACAACTCCCACATCAACTGTGGGAAATTTCTCAGCATAATTGCTCTGCAGAATCAGAAGATTCAGAAATGCCTGCTGCGATTTTAAATTCCTTTGTCACCAACATATTGCGTATGGTAACGTGTACCTTATGTATTTTCAGGTTGCAAAGAGAGGGGTGGGATTTTCTTTTTTAATAAATTTGCTAGGGTTTTCACTTTCTCAAATAGTCTATAGTGTATTTTTACAATAGCTAACCAGGGGAAAGGCCTGTTTGCCTTACAGAATCTGCTAAGCATACAAAAGAGGTTTTATTTATATAAATACCAGTATTTTTCAGTATATAGAAATCTGGCTTCATAATTCCAAAAGGTAATATACTGATTCTAAAAACAGCCAGTTACAGAAAACAGACTTACAAGTTTTAGGAATGCAAACATTCCTAAGATATACTGGTCCTATAATAGTCAATAGGAATTTTGCTATTACAGTACAACCTGTGTTATCCAGCTCGCTCGGGGATTAGGGTGTTCCAGTTATCTAAAAATTCCCGTTATCAGAGGGTCTCATCAGCCTAGGAAAAACCAATGGACAATAATAGTAAGACTCAAGTTTTTAATATTGGTAAAGCAAGCCAGACCAGTATGCCTGAAAATGTGACAGTATTGTGGCTGGGGGCAATGCTAGTTAAAGTCTTCTGGTTAACAGAGTGCTGGATAACAAAGATTTCACTGTAATTTTAATGGGGGCAAGGATTTCAGCCCTTTCATTCAAACACTCTCCTCCAACCCTAAGTATTTTGTAGCAAGGTTAGGTGGTTATTGAAAGCAAGCCCTGACTGTTCCAATGACCCATGTAGAACAGCAGTACTTAGAAAGGCCATCCATAAATTCACTCAGCATTGTAAATAAATGTTTTGACAGTACAGTTCTTTATTTGTATCTGAATGCACAATCTATACAGAGTATTTACAATGCATGAAAATGGAAAACAGCACAAAATACAATTGAGGTATAAGCTAAGAGCACAGTATGTCATATTTCAATAAATATAATTCAAAATTTGTAAACTAAGTAACCAGATAGATGCATCATGTTTTACTTAAAACCATATAAAATATTGGTTAATTTCACGTGAGGTAGAGGACAGCTTTGCATGTCATGTAATGCATCCACAGCAATTCTAACCATAAATCTGTACATCATTGGCAGAAAATAAAAATTGTTGAAGGCTTTGATCATTTTATCTCAAGCTTTTTACTAATTTCAGAATAATTATTCCACTTGTTGCTTTGATTGGAGATAGATTCTACAATGTTTCACCAGTTATTTTTTTTACTTGAAAGATTAATTATACTGCTATGTCAGCATCAATAAATACTTCCAACAGTGAGCATGAAAACACAAAAATAGATTTTGTCAATCACAGACCTTGTAGCCCTGGAAGGCAATATAACCGCAGCAAAATATTAGACAAACTTTCATATTTCCTAGAATTACTTTAAATACAGTACAATTGTGCTTTCCTTGTTTTCAAGTGAGGTATCTATATCTGAAGAAAAATATTTTAATAGATTTTATTACATTTAGATGAATTTCAAGTGTTTTGTTCTTTAAAATCTTTTGATTTGCTGTGCTTGATGAAGAAATATCTCAACCCACCAATTTTTCAAACATTTTCCAACTGCAACAGGAACTTATCAGAAACAAAACATTGCTATCATAAATAATAATGGAGACATACCATGAAATGTGCCATGCTGTTGGCAAGTTGATGACCTTTACTTTAAGAAAAGTGATTATTAGGCAGAAAACTGACTGTCTTTTTGAACTACAGGAGAAATGTAACAAATATAAAATACTAGACCCAACATTCCAATAAGGAAAATGTGTGACTGATTCTCATACTACAAATGCAATAAATGAATGTAAAATTACTGAAATCTGCAGCTTTTTGTACTAAGATATTTTATTGTTGACAGCTTAGATAAAATTACTTAAACATTGCAAGCACACAATTACAGGTAGGTGCATTATTTTGTTAACTTTTTGTTTTTATAATAAGTTCTGTCATGTTGATTGATTACATGGATTAAGTGCAGAGGAGAAAAATACAAAGTCATATACCCTTCTAACAAGAAGGGAATTTTAGGAAGCTTCACAATTAATCTCTCAAAAAATGTTTCTAGAATGTCATATCCCATCATTATAATTATTCGAAAATTTAATTTTCCAAATTTAATGTATTACTTTTTCCAAACAAAACCAAGAATGTATGAATAAAAAGTTGTTCCTGACTCCCAAAAGGTGTGCCTGAGCAGTGCCTGACAGACCAGCCTATCAGCAGCCTTATATTCCCTCTAAGTTTGCCTACTTCAGTAACTGCATTTTAACTTTACTATATACAAATAATTTTACACCTAACTTAATATATTAAATATAAAATAAAATTACTTCAAGAATGTAAAACATAATTACTATATTTAGCCAGATGCTAAAGCTAAAGAGTAATTAAATGCTAACAAAAAATAAAGCAACTTCCTTGAATTAACTTCAAAATTTTGTTAACAACTCTTTATCTAGTGTTAAAATGGTTGCATATGTGAATCTGGGTGATTTTATAGCTTCCACAACTGCAAAAAGATTTACTGCTCTTCTAAAGTCATTACATTTTTCTTAGAGAATTGAGTGCTCCTAGTGTATGAAAGTTTTCCTTTACATTCAAATGTATATTAATAAACTAGGCATTTATGTTGAAAACTACTTAATTTTCTTCCAAAAGTGCTCTAGGCAACTTTGTTTCTAGGTGTTCATTAATGCAGCTTTTAAAATTAAGACTAAAATAGTCTTTTTTTTTTTAATTAATATTAGGAAAATTTGGGAAACAAACTTCTTGTCTAAAAGATCAAACACAAACAACTCAAAACAAACTTCACTATTTATATGTAAGTGAGCATCATAAGGCTAAGGGACCTAATTCATTCTGACATTCACTTTTGCCAATAGTTGCTCTAAATGGGCATCCCAAATCTCTAGCTACATTGTCAAAAAAGCAATTAATCAAGACTACTCCAAGTCAGTGAAACAGCTCAACATAAAACTATTCTAGAACGGATACAGTATTTACAATTTACTAGAAAACTATCATTCAGTGACTATGGACACAAAACCTATGGCACATTTGTATATATTGTATTACTTAAAATTTGTATAAAATTAAGTCTACATATGTAAAAATTTTGTGATGTAAAGAACCTAAAATGACTATTTCTTTACTCAATGTAGCAGGATTACAGTAATTTAAAACTACTGTAAACTTTAGAATTAAATGGTATGTTTACAAGGTTATCTTTTAAAAGATTTTCATCCATTTTAAGTGTCTGTATGAGTTATTAGAATTGTTTTCCTGAAATTTACTACAGCGCCACTTCTGGTTGCACTAATGGGAATACTAATATAGATAATAGCCCACTAGTATTTTAACACTGTTTTATACAAGCAGTTTTTAAACAGAGTTAGATGGCCCATAATTATGACCAGGGCTCACTGAGCGGCGGCGAGCCCCGCTTGCCAGCCTCATGGTTCTGCGCATGAGCAGATCGTTCTGCGCATGAGCAGATCGCCCGAACCCAGCACTTCCAGGATGTAATCTACTTGCCATGGCACATTGTTTGTCGAGCCCTGATTATGACGCTGGTAGATCAATAGAGCACTGCCTACAGTAGGGCTCAACTCCCACTGTTACCACTGGTAAGTTGAACGAGTGGCAATAATGGGAAATTTTGCAGAAATCACCTAGTGTAGACAGAAAATCTAAGATGTGAAATACTGAAGTGGGTTGTGCTCATGAAAGCTCATGATATCATTTACATGTTTTGTTAGTCTTTAAGGTGCAGCTAGACTATTCATTTTTTTAAGTTTTTCCAGTTACAGACTAACTCGGCTACCCCTCTGAAGCCTGTGGTAAATCAGATAGGGTTTTAAAAGATTGTTAATCTTCTTGAACTAGCTACATGGAGGATTAAATAATGTGATACAACATGGTCTGAAATGCAAGAGACACTCTGAAAAGTAACTAAAATGGGCATAATGGAATTTTGACTTGATTGCCTCAATGAAATTCAAATCAAACATTTTCAGTTTATCAGAAAATAGGGCTTTTCCCAGCTGTCAACTAGCATTCACAACTGAGATTTGAAAACAAGCTGTGTTCTTTCAGGCACCAATACCCAAGAATACAGATTTTGCAGTTGGAATATGGTTAACAGGTTTATTGGTGTGTAAACTAAACTAGAAGCTAATTTCCCCATAGCTGTATTGACTGTGTATACCATAGTACTTTTTTTTTTAAACGCAAATGGACATGACTTTGAATACACATGCATACAGGGACCATATAGGCACTTGCATCCCCACCTCTTGACTCAATTTAAATAATTTGGCCTGCCCAGTGTAGATAGGCATACCTTTTTTTAAAAAAAAATGATCCAAAGATAGCAGGAGTGAACATTTTGTACTCTGTAATCCATAATGGCAAGGGACACAATGTTTCAAACTACTTCATTTAACCTGCTTTAATCTTTGGTACAGATGGGCTATTAATAATTTATTAAAATTCTAAAAGGTGCCAAATACATATGCTTAATTTTCTTTCTCCAAACCTGAACAAGCAGTATATGGCACACATACCAGCTTAATCTTTATTTGTACAATATTTGCTATTTCATTGAAATAGTGTGAAATTATTAAAATGCAAGCAAATTTTTAATTTTAGCTAATTCAGAACAATGGAAGCTGACATTTTTATTCATGGTTTTATCTAACACAAATGTAACGCTTGTGAGACCAACAAAGACAAACATCACAGCAAAACAATTTCAGTTAATAGTGGATTCAGATCGTATTACACGGAACATGGAACTACTACTATTTCTAATCAACAAAGTCTGTTAGATATCCTTCCAGCTTTTTGGAAAGGAGGACAAAACTGTATTTTTCGCCTATTTTTGTAATAATTCATTTAATGTGTCAGGATTCTAACACCACACTTAAAATTTAACCCTTTGTATCAGGATTTTTCAACATTAATGTCAGGTACACCAATTTAGATATTCTGTACTTCTATCCATTTTTAAACATTATGGACCAAACACGCAGTACTTTTGCAGATTATGGTAGTATTTCCCATGGTATTTAACCATACAAAGTATCAAAATGAATTTCAAAATGTAACTGCTCAAAATTTGACTTAAAAAAAAACCCCACAACCTTGTCACTAATTACCTACGTGTCAATAAGGCCTGTTTCTACATACCAAAAGAAATCTGTAGACAAGAGACACTGTTGAATATCAAAGTAACTAATGCTTAGGAGTGATAACTGTTACTCTCCATAGTATTAAATTTTCAAAACAATGTTAACCCATATATGTAGGGTTTCCATAATATAGCCCCCATTAAAAAAAAAAAAAAAGACTTTCTTTCTATAGTTGTTACCTGAAAAGCCTCTATCTTCTCCCCAAGGAAGGGGGAAGGATAAGGGAGGATATGAAAGCAAAGGGAAGGAGATTTTTAAGCTTCACAATACATAGGATTCCATTTCAGTTGTTCCTTTTCAAACAGAAATGCATAATAATGTTACGTTCCTTTGGCGTGCCATCAGAATGCTACAATGTACATTTTTAAATTCTTTCATTTTGATAATGGACATTTAATAGCAACTATTAAAACCACCATTTGAAAACTCATACAGATGAAATTATGGAAAAAGCAAAGGTGGTCTAGTAAATTTCTGGTAATCAGTCTCCTTTTATCAGCTTGCCAACATGTAGCATTAATTTACAAATGAAAAGCTGCCCTTATGGTCACTGAATCCTTATTGTAACCTAAATTCTGTGTTTCTATTTTAGGTTTTGAAAACATTAAAATAAAAAAATATTTGTATAACTGGATGTGAAATAGGTAGCAAAATAAAAATGACTATGGTATATTCAAACATACAATTCTGCTTTCAAAAGGTGCACAGCCTTCAAGACTGCATTAGAAATATAGGCAGAAATTGACTTTTCTAAAACAAAAGGCTTCACATTATTAATAGCTGTCTGAGGAAAAAACACCAGTACAAATAAATGCAGATTCTCATTAGTTAAGAAAATCTAAACATGTATATCAAGATATATATTATCACCTTGGTTTTCAGTTTGGGAAACTAGAAATACCTTATCTTATCATACAGGCAAACTGCGCACAGTTCAATTACCAAAAACCTGGTTTGAAGAATATAACTGAGTTCTCCTCTACCAACTTCTATTTTTCTTTTCCATTCTTTGAAGATTTCAAAATCTGAAGCTCCAATTCCTTAATCATCATCTCTAATTTTTCTCTTGCTTCTCGTTCTTGTCTCAGTTCATCCTGAAGCTCTTGTCTATCAGCCTCTGCGTGATCCAGTCTCTGTCTCAGTTCTGCCAACTGCACAAATAATTAAAAAGAAAGGAGAAAGCAATTTTTCTCTTTAATTTACATATATTAATTTATTGAAACAGCTCACTAATGTTCTAAATATCAGACAAAAATATTTCAGATGAATAAGGTATGCCAGACCAGTTCACATACTTTTAAAAAAAAATCTTTCAAAAAGTTGCCATATATTAGTACACCATTTAATAGTAACAATGTTGTACCATAGTAGATCCCCACATTGTGTATATTTGTATTTTTTCATATTAGTATATGAACTGTCATACCACACCATACCATCAGTACATGTAATCAGATGTTAAGCCTATGCCAGTGACCAGTATGCTTTTGAAACCCATATTGTATTCTATTATTTTTGTTCTCTCAGTTTATTTGTTTTGTTTGATAAAATCCTACTTTATTCTGCAGGCATTAATTTTAATATGCCTCTACTACTAAGGAGGTCACCAGAATAAGACATGATGGTATCTTTAGTTCAAAGAGAACAGTGTAAACTAAAGAGAAGAAGACTATTTACATTACCTACACACATATGTATAAGTTAAAACATGTTGCAATTTTCACAAAGAAGGTTAGTGGTGATTGGATGTGTACAATAGCGAAAGCTGGAGAAAAGGAGGTAGGTTCAGAAGTTAAAATAGAAAAAGAATAAGTTAAAAATCATTTAGAAAAGTTACACGTCTTCAAGTCATCAGGGTCTGATGGAATGAACGCTAGAGTACTCAAGGAGGTGATTGAGGAGGTATCTGAGCCATTAGTGATCATCTTTGAAAAATCATGGAAAGACAGGAGCAATTCCAGAAGACTGGAAAAGGGAAAATATAGTGCCTATCTATAAAAAGGGAAATAAGGACAACTCAGGAAAATAGAGACCAGTAAGCTTAATTTCTGTGCCAGGAAAGATAATGGAACAAACAAAAGACACCATTCAAAGATGTTTGTGCTTGCCACATGCACTGGTGCCAGAAAATTTTCCCCCTGCACTCTCTGGAGTAGCACACATATGCCATGCTATATGGGGCGCTGCCAGGTCCCTCCCTCCCCAAGTTCCTTCTTGCCAGAGATTCTGACAGAGGGGAAAAGTAGTCAGGATGCTGAATGGACATGCGTAATACATCTTGAACACCATGAGTTAGGGAAACAGGTAACTGTCTTTTCATCTTCAACTGCATGCTCATGTACATTCAAAGTAGGTGACTCCAAGAAGTATCTGTGGAAATGAGTAGTAGTTTAAGGACATGTTGAAAGCAACACACCTTTGCCAAACCTAGCATCAAATCTGGACTGCTGAGAGATATCGTAATGCATCATGAACATATGCACGAAGGACCACATTGTGATACTGCAATGTCTTGAATAGGGAGGTGGGCCAGGAAGGCTAAAGGAGGAGGCACACACCCTGGTGGAATGAGCTAGGACCAGTAAGGGTTGCTCCACCTCTGTCAGCTCTTAGGACATCTTGATACAGGAAGCATATCCTCTATGAGGATACAGGGATGCCCTTCATGTGTTTGGCAGCATTGCAAGGGGCAGGCAGGTGCCAATGCCTGGGGAAAGCCAGCTTAAAAGCTGGCTCCCCATGAGTACTGGATCCCACCAAGCCGCATGCCTCCCCACCCCTGTGCTGCTGCCTCTGATAGAGAGGCAGCAGCATGGAGAGTGAGGGAGGCAGGCAGGAGCCAGTACACAGGAAGCTGGCTTTCAAGATGGCTCCCCATGCATATTGGCTCCTATGGAGCCTCCTGCACCCCACATGCCACTGCCTCTCTATCAGGCAGCAGTGTGTCAGCAGGGGGCACAGGTGGGAGCTGATATGTGCAAGGAGCCAGCTTTTAAGTCTCTGTATCAGAGGCAGCAGTCCAGGGGTCAGAATCCATGTATCTAGTAGGGATGTTAGAGTATAGCCGATTAACCATTTAACCAATAAGCTGTTTATCAGTTGATGCCTCTCAGCTGGCTCCCCGGGAGCCAGGCAGGCAAGAGCTGGGGCAGCAAAGATTCCCCCCCCCCCAGGAGGTAGGGTAGCAGTCTGATGGCACCTCTCCCAGGGAAGCTTCTCTGTGGGCTCTGCAGTATCCTGCAGTGCATGTAACCACTACAATTTTTAGAGGTTACACGGTTACACCATTACAGGGGTGGGCAATACTTTTTGATGGGGGGGGGGGGGGGGGGGCT